AACAAATATGCAATAAGCATAGTGAACTTGTAGACGACCTCCAGCAAAGATAAGGAAATAAGATGGAACCTCGATAGACTCTATGGTTATTAGGTAGACAAGTAGATTTGTAAACCGACTAAAATTATCAAAAACCGCAAATGAGACAGAAATGACAATGTCTGGCTTATGAGCCGTCACCAACCAGTTACATCCAACTCCAGGTATTGACCAACCCAAAGTTTGTTCCGACGATCTTGTTAGTTAGAAATCTTACACTGTAACCCATTGCGCCACAGGCCCTTGTCTAGCGGTTTCGACCGAGAATATCACTATTGGTGGAGTGATGTCAGATATGACCATTACAGTCTCCCTTGTGCATGTCGGTAATATTATTTTCTTTACACTATGAGCTCCTATACGGCTGCTGGCGGGGTTCGAGAGTAAGCTCCGAGACAAAAAACGATGTGTGAGTCTAGTAAAATACTGATGAGCACCAATCCACGAATATGTATATCTCTACTTGTCCTTGTAAACCTATTGAATATGAAAGTCGAGTAGGTCGTTAAAAATAGACACAATTTGGCCAGGAGGGTCGTGATAAGGAGTAGTAGAACGATATGCAGGAGGACGAAGTCGCCAAGAAATGCGTCTGCATACATTCAACAACCCTCGTCCAGCCCCCCTTGAGCAAAGGAGGCCTGGAGAGCAACTTCAGCCAAGATAGTATATCTGGATTATAGGCAAATTATAAATTATAAATGCTTCCTTATCCAAATTATAAAGGTTCAATGAAGAAAGAGAACGATAGCAGGATAATATTTAGGACACCTCTTACAGTTATCACCAGAGCAGCCTTAGCTAAGACGAAACGTTTTAGAATCCAAATTAATAGCGTGTTTGAGATTGAATGAAGTTCTAACTGCAGGCCAGGCGACAAATATCCTTGACTACCTAAAAAGTACATGCTGTAAGCATACGCTATCCCAGAAGAATATCACTGAAGGAGGACTGGTGAGACCTCATTGGGGCCAGCAGCTTTTAATGTGCAGATCGCTTTAAAAGGTTTCTTCACTGTAGCCACAGACACAGGACATGAGACTCACGACGGTTAGGAAATGTCGTTCGAATTAGATTACAGTTATTTGAAACAAAGGTAAACATTTTATTTACAGAGTCTTAGTCAGCCTTAACATGTGCCAGAGTGTTTTGCTGACAAGTGAGACGATTAAGAGTACTTATAAAGGTAAAACAAGCGGAAAAGGAGTGAAAGGAGGAGAACAAATCTGAACAGCGTATAAAGCATTCAGTCTTGCAATGCCTGTTTTTATTAGCAGCATAATGGGAGAAATGTGCCCTTAAGCATTCAAATTTTAGATAGGTAAGATAAATTCCGTCAGACCAACGGCTTCGAGAAGAGAAATGGTATCAGACCTTTACAAGATTTGACTTTGTTTGGTTAAAAAATTGTGTACAATGTACAGCAGCCTAAAGTCAACATATTTTTCGAGAAGTAGCGCCAGTCGATTGTGATTAGAAGATAATATTCATTATTTCTTGTATCAGTGATATATTGACATCGAAAAAGAAGACGACTCGATCGCTGGGACAATGTTTTCATTCGCCTGACGTTTCGACATCCATCGCGGATTCATCATCAGAGAAATTAGCAGAAAACAGTAGCAGAAACGGCACCCGTACAAACTGCAAGTATAAATGGTATAAGTTTAGACAAACCCACAGGTGGCAGACAAAAGACAATTATGAAATCTCTTAACTTGTATAAGTATGCTGTTTAAGGGAAAATGCAACCTTCCTAACAGACCTAGGCAGTAACTGTCTGTTTCGCTTATTTTCGGTGAGCCAGAAAGCCAGTAAGTTGGGCCGACACAGGTCAAAGCTATATACAAGATTTTCAGCCTTATTAAAGGGCATGCTTATCATGCTCGAAAAGGCATGGTATTTTAATAGACACGTTTTTAATTGCTTTTGCCATATTTGCTGTATGCATTTACTGTATTTACTGTACGAAATCGTTGTTTTTCTTGAATACAATTACAGTATGTCACTGTGTATGTCCTCATGATACCCACGAAAGTCTTTTCTATCTGGGTATGTCTGCAGTTTGTTCCGACTGGAGTTGCTTGGAGCTAAAAATCTTTTTTTGTCGGTATGAAAAACGAAAATCGTATTCAAAGCTTTCCGGTTTGTTGCAGCATGCGTTCCAACATGATAACGTTGCGCGCTAACGACTTGATCCAAACATGCTTTCAAGATCATTGCCCGCGCGTTCATAGCGATACGCATCAAAGAGATCTACATATAAAGCTTCAACCCAAAGCTCGGATGCGAAAGGGCTCAATACAGTGCAGCTAAGTGACGGTTCTGGCGCTTTGATCAAGCAAAAAATGCTTATCTTAGATATTAAGTCGGCCTTCTTGATCTGATCTGAAGTATCGAAATCTGAACAGCCCGCTTTTGTGCTGCGGCTTTTCTGTCTACATCGGCAGCCGAAAACTCAAATTCAAAAATACGCCGGCCTTAACTGCTAACGCGACGATAAGACGTTAAATTACAGTTGAGGTCTTGTGAGTTGCAAAATGCCGAAATATGCGAAATGTTGATAATCACTCGCAAGCCGACGTTTGCGTGCATAAAGGAAAAGACCGAAAGTTCAATGGACAACCTAGGGCGAATTTAAAACTTCAAGGAAATATGAAAATAATACAAGTTTGTTTAGAAATACCAACTTTAAAAAAGTCTCAGTTCAGAAAACATAAAAAAGCGCTGTTCCGTTGACTAATAAACGCAAATATAATTGTATAGGGAACTCGCAACTTCATCATAATCTAGATATATCAAGAACTGTCCTTTCTTCACATTTATTTAAAAATATTCCTGGTATTTAATTGCAATACAGATCATCCTTAAAATTCTTGCGAATATTTTGCGATTATCCGTTTTTTGAACCTTTTTACTACCAGTTTAGATTATGTTCGTTAATGTCTATGTAATTTACTTCCGTGCACGTAATAGCGAAAGGAAAAAAGGAGAACTTTGACCTGCATTTTCCTTTTAATGAGAATTAGTGAAAATAATTCGACTGCAAATTTATGATCTCCTTACATTGGATGTGGTAAAGCAGCATTCATACAGCCGCACTAGCCATTGTTTTTTTTGATAAGAAGCATTTAAAATTAGCAAAAAGCATTTCTTAAACTGAAGCCGTTCTTTGTCTCTGAACAGCAATTTATTTCTTTCTACTAATTTCCATCTGATTTTCACTCAATTAAGATCACACTTTCGGGTTCCACAAGAGTTTTATTCAGAAATTCGATTGCTCATCTTATTATTATTTTAGAGCACAACTCGCAATAACAAATGCTTTCTTCTGTCATATTAAATTGTGTTGAATATTCGGCAACGTCCGAGTTTGCCAAATTGTGCCTGTTTTCTTCTGATAAAAAATTGTATTAATCAGCGTTCTTTACTATATGTATCGTCCAGCCTGCTAATAACACCTTGAAATAGCTGCAAAATTTACAATAATATGACAAAAATATGTTAAATTGTTTTCGTTATGCCAAGTGATAATAGGAATGAGGAAAAACATCTCAGGTCACTAAAAGTCTGACCTGGTGAGAGAAGTAGAGTTCATTTGTCGCTTAAGCGTAAATTGTTCAATTGCATTGCCTACCATATTAATGTCACAACTAACTGAGCGGTTATTTGGTCAGTAGCCTTAAAATTTTTAAACTCACACTAGATAAAACGTCTGTGGATTTGCTTTGAGCTCAGTAGCACTTTATTACCAGCGGTGACCGTAGTAAAGACAGCTAGGATAAGCAGCTAAATTGCAAGGTACCACTGTCAAAAGTAGTGGATAGAATCGCACCCCCGATAGAGCTTTTTGTGAGACTAAACTTAAAGACGATATACAACAAAAAGAGTGCGTCAAGGTTATAGGTGAATACAATACAATCAGAGAAGGAGATGAAAAACATTGTCAGAACTAAGAGATTCCGTGATTGTTATATAATTCTTTTTAGACAAGAAGCCATTCAAGGTTTCAAATCATCTCTCTGTTCAAAGAGAAATGCATGTTGTCGACGCGATACATCTTGGGGTAAACACTAATGAAAAACGCCTGAATGCACAGAGTGGCAAAACTGTTGTTCCTTTAAAAAATTCCTTAAGAATAATTAAAAATTCAAAAATCGGCAACCTCAGTCGGTAAAGTATTTGTTCTCAAGAACATTTACAGCGCCAACGTCAATTAGGAGGAACCACCAGGAAAGCAAATTGACTTTCTGCATTTTGATATATAACTGAATAAGCAGTAAGCCAGGATGTCTCGGGTCCAGTGTGACTGTGTCAGTGATTTTCTGGCTTGAGCGGTAGGAAAACTGTATCTTTGTCAGTTGCGATTAGGCGCGTTATTTCTCTAGCCACCGTAGCCAAACTAACACTTAAGGAGCCTAGATCCATAAAAATAAACAAAACTATACTTTGAAAAGTAAATTGTACCCAGCAAGTGCAGAATATTTACATTAAACAAGGGAATGGGGTAAAAAATCATATATAGTTTTCCGACCGTCTCAATTAATATCCTTAACAGTAGGACCTCTAACCTCAACATCCAAGAACACAAGAGTTTTTGTTCGATGTTTCAATTAACCATATCCCTACAGAGGGTCTGTCTTCAAAAGTATACTGTGAAACCGTTTGTGGGATGCTAACACATTGAAAACGCCCCGGAACACTAACATTCGTATGACAGGGTTTCCTAAGTACATGCGCCAACAAAATTTAGCTAAAACTATTTTTTGAGGACACAGAATGTCAGATGCTTTTATAAATAAAATGGATAAAAAGATGCAGGATATATTCGTTTGCACATTTGTTCCTGCTTACAAAAAATATTTTCTCTGATAGTCTGCTCTGTCGTCTAAGTTGTTTTTATGAATTCGATCTTTCTTTAATTTCTCAGTTTTTGACCAATATTTTGATTTTTTCTGAAGGGTTCTCAGGGCTCGCCGTCGCCGGGTATGCCGTCAACGTCATTGAATTGGCCCCCAAATTTGCAGGTTTAATAATGGGATTCGCTAACAGCCTAAGCACACTGACAGGTGAGTGGGCGTTTTGCTTCATACGTTGTTGCATTCTGGCATTCATTTCAAATCAGAAAGGCAACCACCTTATATATTGACTCAAATTACGCCAGAGGATTAATTGAATCGCCTAGTTAACGTATTGGGAAGCGGAACCTTTACAGCCGTCCTATACTTATCGCCCATGGGTCAAGTTTTCTACTATAAGAGAGGTTTTTTGTGTAAATACACAAAATAGGCACAGATCAATATCCCAAAAATTACGGAGTAAAAGCAGTTAGGGCAACTTAGATCTCACTGTTTGCATTAGACGATGATATCTTTTGGTGGTTCACCGTTTTGTTTTAAAGTTAAGAGTGTCAGAAGATATAGATGCTTCAAATGAACTATGTTTACGGCAGAAGTTGTGTCCCTTCCGTAGAGACACTGGAAACAGTGATAAGTGGGTTGTCATTGAACGCCAAATGCAAATTAAATATTTCTTTCTAATGCTTTAGAGAGATTTCAATTCGATTGACTCACAAGACTCTAAAGATTCTAAAAATATAGCGTACGTCAACGGGGCATGTGTAGGCATTGTGGTTAGTCTATTCTACAGACCATAAAGTAGGAATTTCAAGTATCTGAATAATGCTTTAATCATATCCCTTTCGGGGCGATTTTTGGTTAGTTCCAACGGTTCATCAATAAGTTATGTTTAAGGAGACAGAACCGTAGTCAATACCTACTGTTGCATTCGTATTTAGTCAATGACTGCCTCATACACCGTCACTAATGGGAAAACAAGTAATTTGCAGAGCAGTTTTAATAAAGTCTGTAAATCAAATTAGACGAAACCACACCTTGAATAGGTCTGACCTCCATTATTTTAGTCAAAAATACGCTTCTCCTCACGGCCGCTGTTTGCCTCCATTTCTATCCACTTGGAAACCTCAACAAATTGCAAAGATAGTTTAAGTAGTGCACCTCATAACCCCCTAGTCCCAGCATTTTCCTACGAAAACAGTAGATGTAGAGAGCCTGGAGGGAAAAAGATGGGATAGGGAGAGAAGGAAATTTGAAAAAGTAAGTGAATATTGGAAAAATGTAGTTGAATTTTTTTATCACGGCCCCTAAGTGTAAGTTGTTCCGCATGTAAATTGAAGTTGTGTGCGGCGATTCTCCCCACGGACTATACACATCTAACTCCGGAACGGTAGGCTTGACCACAGGCAAGTTGTAGTAGACGACCTCCTAAACACCATTTTTATTGTTTCCGGAATTTCAAGAATCCTGCATTTTTATAATTGTTTTTTCCGCAATACGTTGAACTATAATAGAGTTTAGGAAAATCTATAGATAAAAATTAACAACATTTCCAATTACAATAAATTAAAAGTGTATATAGCAGTTTATAACGTATATTTCACCGTCTGTCCTAATTACACAGCCACAAAACCCCCATAACAACCATTTTCGTAGGAAAGTACGCTGCTACTACGCTGATATATGATGTGTATACTTAAATGCATGCTGCCAAAAATAAGCCTTTTCAAAGCACGCGCAGCAACGACATTATTTTACTGAGAGAGTGCTTCTGAGTTGCTTATAAGAAAGTCCCGCAGAGCAGTCAGCTGATGACTTTCACCATATTCCCCGGACTCAGGAATATCTGCATCTAATGATACCTAGTATTTACTGATCCGATCACTTTGCAGAATCAAACGATTAATCTGTGCTGTCACTGCCCATATTGCCACCCTCTATGGCAGTCGTGTACTGCAAAATTAAGTTTACTTCGAGCGCCATAAATCGTTTAATTGAACACCTTTAGTTCATTTTTTAGTAAGGATTCAGTATAAACAGCCCCATATCGTTGTTTACTCTATAACAGTTAAAACTTTGTTCGTTGATGTGAACCTGTTTACTTATTGACGTATTCAGAATTCACCACTCTATAACACTAGCCACACAGAAGTTTTTAACGTCCAGCGCTTATTTTTATAGTCAAATAGGGTGTTTTTCAGTTAGTTTTCAGTTGGATTGGTTATTTATGTTTCTCTAGTTTTAGTTAAGTTGGTTAAGGTTACCTTCATTTTCAGTTAACTGTCCCGTGATTATGGTTTTGCTTAGGTTTCTAGCGCTGTTTTGCAATTTGTGCAGTTATTGATTCCTGTTTTTTGTATTCCCCATTAAAATTATCGCGCGTTTTCGCGGATATTAGTTTATTCAACAAATCATTCTATTGTTTTCTACTTGTACACGCTTTGCGTTCTGTTTACTTTTTTCCCCAACATGACTCACTTATATATCCCCTACAACCATCGATCCCCTATTGCACAGTCCTGGAGTTTTTTGTTACTTTCTTCATGCATATATTCAGTGTTTATCCACGCGTTGATAAAAAGGTTACCTTTGGATTTCCAAACAGCTTTCTGCACTCAATGTGTATGGAGTAATGAGTTTGTCCCTTGGAGTAGCATTAGATTCCAGTCCCAGTTTAAATTGAAACATCCCTTTACCGTCCAATAGATAATATATTTATCAATAGAAGCGCTCTATTTGAACTTATTCAAATAGTTTACCTTTGAAGAAGGAAGATTCATCAGAAATTCGAATTTTACTCTTGAATTTTCAAGCCGGTTACACCAACGAGCTGTCAGGCAAAATGATAAGTGAGAACTAGGATAATTGCACTAGAGGGTTTTAAGGAGAGGCTACATCGAACAGGGGTGGGAGTGGCTTTTTATCTTTCTACTATAACGCTGCCCTTAAAGTTTATTAAGTATTCTAACTGGTTTTAATTTGCTATTTTATGTCCCCACAGGGATTCTATCTACAGTGCTTGCAACGGTGGTCGTCCACTATCTCAACGCTGGCGTTGGAAACGGGTGGATTTTTGCCATGTGCCTCGCAGCGGGCAGCCAATTATTTGCTGCCTTTTTTTTCATCGCATTTGCTTCGAGCCAAGAGCAGGCTTGGGCCAAAGGGGGCCCCAGCATTCGGGAATCCTCGCTACGTAGCCACGATATAGAGGCGAATCTTGAAGTGCCGGCAGTGTCCATCCCTTTAGAGTAATTTTATTGCATTAGAAAACAATGGATGGCCTAAAGATGAACTGTATCTCACTAACTTGAACGGACCATCGGCAGATATGGGGACTTCGAGAAATTCTGTGCCTGCGGATATTCCTGAATAAGAGCTTATTTGAAACTATTCTTTGCATTTAACATAAGATGCTTGTGTATAACTTCTTTTGAACTGTTTTGCAACACTTTTATATTTAAATTAAAAATTTTGAATTCTGTATACAATGTTCTTAATTTTGACCGTTCTTAAAAAACTCGATCAATATTACGATCAAGTAATAAGCAAACAGAAATAGCAATATGTAGTACAGTAGCAAAGAAAAAATAACGATCTTAATTTAAACAACTTCTTCGTTCATGCAAGCCGGAGAGCTGTCTGCAATTATAGCCTAAAAAGGGGTTAACACCAGTTCATTCCTGCCATATTTGCAATATGGCCATTAATTTTGTTGTTCAAAGTAACTTTAGTAACGCCATATCTCGACATTTATGATGAAATGAGTTTTTGGCATATTACCATAAATCATCCGATCGTTGGCTGTTCCCATGCTCTGCCCTCGCAGCCGGCTATGCACACAAAAGCCAGGCTGCGAGTTTTCCACAACTAGTTTTGGTTACCTTCTATACGGTTGCTTATTCTAGGCAGAATATCTGGCCACTTCTCTGACCAAAAATGAAACAGTTCAACACTGAAAGCCGCAGACAAGAGCCTAGGGATTTCGCAATGCCAAAAGCTGCAGGGGACAGAGCACCATAATTTTTAAAATATAAATAAGATTTCCTGCTGAGGAAAATGCACAAGTTAGTATACGCAGTGGCACTAAGTATGATACTTTTACAGCAAGCACACCTCATCGTGTATTATTGTTAGGAATCTTAATAAGTTTGAATTTAACTTAAAGTATTGGACCCGTCTACCTAACTTCTTTACGGATGCTTAATTATTTCTGGAGATTCATCGGACAGTCATGACGTGATATTAAGCATACACCTAGTCACGATAGTTTGATCAAATGAATGGATTCAATTAACGAAGTTCAGTATTTTGAGGGTAATATACGGCAATTTTGGCAAAATCGAAAGTACCATGAAATCAAAACATTTCCTATGTTATTTAGTATGATAAAAGCAAACGTTTTTATATGAATTAGGCTATGGGAGTGCTCCGAAAAAGTAAGAAAAGTCTAAAATATGTCCCTTCCAGAACCGGAAAATCTAGTCCTAAGAGAATACAAAACAGGTGACACCAAATTTGGGAAATCTCCCTTATTTTAGAAACGAGGAACACTTTCCGTTTTAAATATTACAACGCAGTTAATAAGTTTTGGGTGAATTTTGTTTAACCGCGCCAACCACTTGGGAAGATAAACAAAAGCGCACATATACTAACGCGAAACTGAAGATAAAAATCGATCTTGTTTGGTCTCATGCATTTAGCAATATATTTTTTGTAAAAAATAGTTTACGCTTATGCGTAATTTAGTAACGGAAGAGACGGAGGCTTAACAGATTTCGCAAAATCTCCCTATAAATTTGGCTACAGTTTTTTACAGTCTCGAGCTTAAAACGGAGCCTGAAAGTAATCGACTATCGTGAATCAGACTTCAATATAAAGAGTAAAGTGAGTTTCTTCCATTGACAGTCAACTGCTTTCATTTATTTTCAGGTAACTTTGAAGAAATTTTAAAAATTCTCCATTTTTACTTCGACACCTTCTTTGAAAAATGTAACATACGCAGATTTTTGTTAGTTTAATAGCCAATAGAAGTTCTCTTTAAATAGGTTACCTAGCAAAATGTTTTCAGTAATCATAGGAATGTCAATATCAGACTTCCTTTGGAAACCTTCTTTTAACCCCACATTTAGCTTTGCTGTTTATAGTAAGTTCTAAATATGGTCCACATGACAATCTTCGTAGGAACTAATATCCACTAAATCATTTTGGTAAATGGTTTTAATAAGTAGCGTGTTTGAAGAGTTTTGATAAAAATTTCAAACGGAATCTGGATTTATGGACCAAAGTTTAAATCACTGAAAATACCCGAAAATATGCGGCAGTTTAATTGACGATCTTAAATATTTATAACATTTTTGACTAAAGAACAGTTCTTAAGGCATACAGATAGTGGTATAGTTATCCATTCAACTAACTGTACGATTTCAACTTAATGCTTTAATTTTAACTATTTTTGACGATTATTAAGAAAAATATTTTTCTAAACAAACATTTCATCCTTTTTACACTTCTTTTAATTATCATGTTTTAGTGAAGTTTTTCATTATTAGTTCTAAGTTTTCGCAAATGCGTCCGTGCCAGTATGCGGGTGACTATTTATCTTTCGGAAACTTCAGCCGTACTGTATAATTTGAAGCTTTTCCCGAAAAGAAATACTTCCTCATTCAAAGAGCTTCCGGTATGGTGCCAACTAAACGAGCAGTGCCCTCATATTTTCATTGTCTGTAAATGTGAGAGAAGTCGCGGTATCGTAAGCCGTGGTTTACTTTGTATTGTAGGAGAAACCCGAATTTAGAGCATGCAGAAGATGTCAGCCCCTAGTGACATGAGACTAAATATTTTCACATATATCTGCGATTTTAAAATTCTGTTCTATAATGTACACTATAATTTGGTCCTATTTAAATAGACGTTACAACGCGAAAGTCTAATAGTTCCCCATGTTTTTACTCGGAATAAAATTTTCGTCTGGAATCCCAGGAGATCAAAAAGGGCCAATCATTTGTGAATGCGACAAAGAACCCATATCTGTAAAGCTTGCAGCGGAAAAATCAAAAGACTTTATAAATAAGATAGCGATCCCACAAAAGCAACTTTTAAAATCAATAGAAAGATGGTTCAAATGCCCAAGATTTGAAAGCTATCCTGTGCTATATACAATAGGACAGAAGAGTAGAGTGGGGAACTAAAGTTCCAGTTAACACAAAAGACGAAAATATCGCCTTTCGGTTGCCGATCGTGCAACTGAGAGACTTTCGGATGATGCAGTGATCTGTAAGAATACCGACAAAGGACGACTGGACTTGGGTGTAATTTCCGGCTAATTAGCTTTTTCCAGCAAATCGCACACCATATCCAAGTTTAATGACTTGAAGGTTGGTGGTTATTTATTTAAACTACAAATTCTAGCTTAGCCTGGTGGCCG